CCACCACACACACACACACACACACACACACACACACACACACACACACACACACACACACACACACACACACACACACACACACACACACTACCCTCGCCTAGCCATGCCAGGGGCATACCTCCACCGGCGCAGCCTGCGTCCGGCTGCCACAACTTCGCCGTGGGGCCGCAACTCCTGCCAAAGTGCCTGCCTCTTACCCCTCGGGGCCAGGCGTGTCCCGGCTCCGTCTGCCGCCTGCCGCCGCCCGGGGCTCCCTGCCAGCCGGGGAGAGCAGGGAAAGATGTGCCCGGGAAGCTGCCCAGTCTCCGCCCGCGCCCCCAGCCGCCCCTTTCCGGGGGGAGAGATTCCCAGGCAAGGTCCTTCGTGCAGTGCTCCCGCTCCCCCAGCCTCAGCCCCCCTTCACACGGCTGCACCGCGTTTGGAGGGTGATGTCAGTAGACACACCTCCTCGCTGGCTCCGAGATAGGTCCCCTCGCTGCGGCAGAAGGGAGCCGGGCGTGGGGAGGGAGAGGGAAGGAGCCGCGCACAGAGTGTGTAAAAGTGAGGCGGGTGTGACAAGCAGGCGGGCACGGCCTGGCTCTGGGTTTGAGGAGGAGCCTTAGACCCAGTTGGAGGGTAAAAATAGACAAGGCCGAGGGAGGGGAGGGAAAGCTACAGGGAGGGGAGGAAGGGAGAGGGGAAAGGAGGAGAGAAAAACGACCCCGGGGTGGGAGGGGAGCTGAAGCGAAAGGAGCTGACCCAGAGAGAAGGGTCAGGCACAGGTAGATGGAGCAGGGGAGGGGATTAGCTGGGGATTACCCAAATCCCCTTAGATGAATTGCTTCCCTGGGTCTGCTCTGGGAGCTAATCCCAGCTGGGCCGGGCTGAGCTGCGGGGTCTCCCAGGGGATGGCCACTGCATTTCCTTGTCTCTTATCCCAGGAGTTTTATTTTTGGGGGAGGGATAGCTCAGTGGTTTGAGCATTGGCCTGCTAAACCCAGGGTTGTGAGTTCAATCCTTGAGGGGGCCACTTAGGGATCTGGAGCAAAAATCAGTACTTGGTCCTGCTAGTGAAGGCAGGGGGCTGGACTCGATGACCTTTCAAGGTCCCTTCCAGTTCTAGGAGATGGGATATCTCCATTAATTATTATTATTATTTTGGAAATCCTCTCCCCACCACAAACACACACACACACTCGACCCTTTCGGGTCCAGGTTCTGAAAAGAAGCAGGATCTGGTTGTCTCAACCCCCCGGTGGCAGCAACCCCATAAGGCCACCGGGCTCAGAGCCAGAGGCGGGGGAACCAACCCACAGCAAGATGGTCGAGTTTAGCCAGGTTCCACCGGGTCACACACGCATGGGCGGATAGCTGGTGGGTTCTTGTGGTCACCATGTGAGGGGAGAAGTCGCGGTGATTGGAGAGGTGTGGGCAGCCCACGGGCCTGAACTATAGTACGCCATGCAGGGAAAACTCTGGGGGGGATCTGAAACCCTCCTTCAAACCTGAGATCAAGGCCCCGTCGTGCCAGGCACTGTCCACAGACATGGTCAGAGGCAGTCCCCGCCCCTAAGAGCGTACAGTGTGAACAGATGAGACCGACCAAGGGTGGCAGGGGAAACTGAGGCTTGGGGCGAGGACGTGCCTCGTGCGAGGTTTAGCAGCACAGCCACATGACAGATGCTGGTCAGGTGGCTCAGCGTACGAGTGGAAGGTGCTCGGATACCCCAGCAACGAGGGTGGCATGAGAACCTATGCAGAATAGAACCCAGGTGTCCTGAGTCCCATTCAGTGCTCTGGCTGCTGGACCTTGCTCTGAGACGTGTTATAACTAGGCAAGCGTAGGGCTGGGACTTCTGCCAAATGCCAGTCATTTTATTGCCCCTCACTCCCCAAATCACCCCTCTGCCCCCACTGGGCACTTCCACTCTGGCTGCATCTACACCACGGTTTAAGCAGTGACTCCAGCCCAGGTGGGCACATCGCTGCGGGAGCTGTAACCTAGAGTAGTAGGGATGCGGTGACATGAGACTGAGCATGGCCTAGCCGTCCCGGTACAAACCCAGCTACGTACTTGGGATGCCCACCAGTGCGTCTTCATTACTATTGTGACCCGTGCTGGCTAGGTTCAAGCTAATGATTGGTTAACTAAGGCACTGGTTCTCGACCGGGGCTCTGTGGCTCCCTGGGGGGCCGCGAGGAGGTTTCAGGGGGTCTGCCAAGGACCGGGCTTCAGCCCCAGGCGACAGGGCGTGGGGACAGAGCGCCACCTCCACCCCCTGACTCATCTCAGCGGGCCCCGCAGCCTGCCTGGGTTGGGAGGGAGAGGCGGGAAACCAAAAATTGCAGCATCACTGAGCAGAAAGCTCTCCCCTTGCCACCAGTAAGGGCTGAGTCCGCGAGCAGGGAGCAGCTAGCCAAGGAGACACACCACTGCTCTGCCCTGCTACATCAGCACTTCAGGGAGCAGGGCCAAATGGGAGGCAGAAATCTCGGCTGGGCACATGAGCCTACGCCGATACAAAAGAGGGGAGTGTGGGAAACACCCCACGCCTCAGCCATCACTCACTTGGCTTCCTAAGCAACCAATTCACAGCACATGTGAAACAGGTGGGGGAAACCGAGGCAGCGTTGAGCCCTCGTTCACCAGATACCTGGGTCGTACCCCTGTGCCGTGTGTTTATATCAAAGCAAAGTACTTAAACATGCTTAACTTTAAGCACACGCTTAAGTGCAATCAAAGTCAATGGGATCTAGGCATGTTCTGAAACGTGTCCTTCAGGGCTTTGCCGAATTCATGCCCTAGCGCACTGCCTATCAGACCCTACAAATACAGGCAGGAATGCTGACGGGGCCAGTTTCAACATTGCCAACCAGTAGCGAGGGTGGGGAGAGAGGTGGAGAGATTAGCACAGGCTGATCAGAGGCGAAGGGTCAATACTGGAGTCATAAATAATGTAAATACACCAAGACCATGCCCCTCTGCTAAGTAACCCATAAAAAGATAGAGGAACAAGTGCTGCCAACTGCGGTGATTTTATCCCGAGTCTCGTGCTAGTGGATGTTTTCTTAAAGCCCCAGCTCCTGGACTCAGGTGATCGAGAATCTCAGCTCTCGTTTTAAAAAGAGTTTCTAACCTTCTCTCCAGCTGACACAAGAGCTGGACCATGTGACTCCTAATGGCTCTAACACCAGAGACTCAAACATTTATTACTTTAAAACGAAAATCCCATGATTGTTTACGCCAATCCCATGATTTCAGGGGCCTGACTCACCATTTTCAACCACCTGAGGTTGGCAGAACTGGACCAAACCCCTTCACTTCTACACTGGGTTGTATCTTTCCTGAGCCCTTTGGGGCAGGAAAGGGAGTTGCATAGGGGAGAGGGAAGGAGCAGTGGGGTAGGTATAATTATCCATTGCTCCGGGCACCCTGGGTAACAGGGCCCGAATGCACATTGTCCCGGTTACAGGGCTAGCAGCACCTCTACCCTCCCACCCCGGGTCTCCGGCCTTGTGCCTTTACTTCCCCCTGCAATTCTCCACCCTTAGACCCAATCATGTGCTACTGCCCCCCGTGGATCGACCACGCTTCCCCAGCAGGTCCGGCTGGCCTTGGGACGTGTCGATTCTTCCCTTCGGGGGCTGTGACCAGCGGTGAATCCAGTGACCCAAACCAGCCCACTTAAAGCAACGCAGGAGCACAGCATACCGATCACCCATCCGTCGACCTTACCATCCCTGGGCCCAGACCCTAGGCTGGGCTCTGCGTTGTCTCTCCCAGCACCTCTGAGAGGTACGTCTAGGCCCCCCAAAAGCCCTTTGTCACAGGTTCTCGTGCAAATAGCGCCACTGAGACAGCCGGCATTGCTTGGGCATCCCCAGAGCTGTGTAGGGGACATGCCCTAGCATTCTGGCCTGGCTCTACTCACCTAAGCAACGCCTCCCGTCTAGGCTGCTATTAATACCTGTGCTACGGGCGCATGCAGTGTCTGCCCTCTCTTCCGCCTTGTGCTGAGCCGGACCTTCCCCCTCAAGCAGCCGCATTGATCAGGGAAGGACAAATCCACACGGCTGCCAGGAGACATGTCTTGCTTGCCCCATCTAGTGCGTAGACCTGCTTTGCTGCACACTCCAGACACCGTGCGTGGGCCGTGAATTCAGGCTTTGCACCTAAGCGGCTCAGCTTTGCTATTTTAATGGCCCTAAACGAAGGACGGGACGCGCTGGGCTAGGAACTTGAGTGGATGTTGCAGAGGGCTGGGCGGAGGGGGATGTATCTGAGATCTGCGTGCCCCTCCTCTCCCCATTCCCTTCCGCAGTTTAGACGACTTTCTGCACCCACGCTGCCAGACGGCTAGAGTTCACACTGACGTGGGAGCGCCCCATCTCGGAGCGCTTTCCCGGCACCCCCTCGGCTTAGAGCTAGGCCTGGTGACGCATTTCATCCGGGTGCCTGCGGGTGCTTATTTTCAGCAGCGCAACGCAGCCCTCCGGGGAGCCAGCTTCCTCGCCGAGTTTGCCAGGAGAAATGACTCACGTTAAGTGGCGCCGTTATTATAATGGGCTCCGATTCGCCAGGGCTGACGCGATCCCAGGGCAAGGAGGGAGGGAGTCCTGGGATGTCGCCAGTGAACGATTCGTTGGGTGCACTACCTATATGGCTATATCAGAGGTTGTGCTGTGTCGACGTGGGAGCCTACCTCACGTGGACTGGGTGCCTCCGTGGGTTGGAGCCTTTCGCCTTGCAGGCCCCAGTGGCTGACAATCACTGCCATCTGCTTGGGCTGTTTGTGGAATGAATTGGGGGGGTGTCTCAGTCTCATTCCTAGTGGCCATGCCATGAAAACAAACCCCACAGTTGGGCCCCACATTGTCACCCTCAACCTAGAGGCTGAGAAGTAACTGGCCCATGGAGTCTTGGGGCCAGATCCTGAGGCGGGGCTCGTAAGCAGACACACAAAGGTGCCCTTTGTGTTCCCTTAAGGCGGGGGTTGCTTTGTGCCAGGCTTCTGGAAAAGGCTGTACCAAGGTGTGCCAGCAGTGATCTGCCCAAAGTGGTCATGGCATAGGACCTGCTGCAATGAATCATGGAATCTCCGGGTTGGAAGGGACCTCAGGAGGTCATCTAGTCCAACCCCCTGCTCAAAGCAGGACCAATCCCCAACTAAATCATCCCAGCCAGGGCTTTGTCAAGCTCTATGCCAACAAAGGACTCTCCTGTAAAGGCTGGCGGGCTGCTGCTTGTCTGTCTGGTTTTTATTCCTAGCCTTCTGTTTAGTTAATTAACTCTTACAATTTCCATCCTGCAGAAATATCTACAGAGCATTCTTCCTCCTTCCTGGCCTCTGACCTGATAGACTCATCAGCTATACACGCTATCTGCTCTGGGCCATAGGCCCTATTCTGCTAACTCGAATG